AGATGGCTCCAGCACTTTCGTGACCACGGGCCGAGAGTCTTTGCTAGATTTTGGCATTTAGCAATTGGCATACGGTTTAATGTGAAGTCAACAACAACAACAACCCAGCCGGTTTTCCTCCACTTACTGAAAAGACTCCACCACATCCCGTTCGACTGTGGGTATATCTCGAATGGGTAGTCTTTCTGTGCGTGTATATATTTCTCCTTAATTTGTGGTGTGTGTTTCTCTCGGCCTTTTGCGGCAACTGCTCTGCTCTGTAAAATAGTGGCGCAACCAGCAAACAAGGTTGGTTTCCCCCTGAGATGTATTGCACATCCACCCATGCTCGTTGAAAGGTAAACCGACCGCAAGCCAGGGTTCTGTTCGATTGAACTGCGAACGGATAGAGAGAGGGCAGCGAGACACGAGACGCAGCAGCGATCGCAGCGACACATTCAAACCTGAATTAATTCCGCCGCATCTCTCTCACATTTTCCTGTTGCGCACGCCGGTTATCCTCTGCCCAAGACACGACAACCCAAGGCCGGAGTGCTGCACCACCTGCAGTGGTGGCCTCTCGAGACGCGCTTCCTCGCCCTTGCCTGTGATGTAAGAAAATGCTAGTTCCGACCTCGTAGCGACTGATGGGTGGCATGGCGCTTTGGAACAGCCAGAGCGGTGCACCAGCGTACAGGTCGCGTGAGCGATGGAAATCTCCGTAATCTCCGTTGTCGCCTGATGTACTGATCATGATAAAAAGTCTCTACAGCAGTACTGCACGTATCACGGGGGAGAAGTTTCCACAGCTGACCAGCCGTAACCTGCGTCTTGTCCAGGCTCCATATCTATCTCATGTACTTACTGGGTCCGCTGAGATAGTGTATGTTGCTGCACCGCACATGTATGCCAACTTCGGCAACACTGCTGCACCATGTACCTGCCGCTGCTGCTCCCTCGCGACGAGGCGGCCAAGCATCATGGTTGAATTTGTTTGTTGTTGTACATTGTTGTTATTGTTGGCCTATCGTCGTATGCAGGGCTTGCCTGCGACGGGCAAACCTTGGGGGTAGAAATGACTACCGGAATGCTGACTCACACACGAAGCTTTGGCTTGTGCTAGTACGAAACCTATCGGCCATTGCATCGTTCTGTCCGCGTCTGGAACGCCGCAACAACAAGTAAATAAGTCCATGCAAAAGAAATTAGAGTTTCTTGGCTCGCACGCAAAGCGTTGATGGCGGTGCCATCGGCCACTGCTCTGGTGTCGTCTATACGACTAGGCAGCCGTACTGCGGTAGCACATGCGGAGAACGTGTGCCTCATGGTGATGTGCCGTGTGAGTGTGTGTCTCTTCCCACACACCACCCATCACTGCTGTTTCAATTCTTCTGCCGTTGAACTCGTTCGGTGTGTGTGTGTTTTGTGTGTTTTCGTCCTATTTAAATGGCGACAGTTCCCCTATCTTTCGTGGTGAGACGTGTACTGCACTTTTCAGCGTATGTAGAGTACTACACTTTTCAGTGTATGTTTTCGTACAACTACAGTCATCCAGGGTCACACAGGAGGGGGTAAACACCAGGGCTTTTTTTCTTATCTTTTTTTCTTTTTTCATGCCTCACCTTCCTCCTGCGGTGCGTGCTGAATTTCATTTTTATCGCTTGAAGGGTCCATCCCGCCGTCCCTTTCCCATGTCAACGGTGCTAACGTAGAGAGTAGTGCTCACGACTTTGTCGACAAAATAAAGTTACAGGAATATTATA